TCCCCCATGCCCCATCCTCCGAACCAGGCTCCTCCTTCTGCTTGAACAGACCCTCGGGGCCCCTGATGCCACCGAGCCACTCGCACTGTCCCTGGGCTGCCGGGCACCCCGCTGAGCCCCTGCCCTCCCCTGGCATCTGTCAGCAACAGGCCCTTTGCCTGGGTGAGATGGGCGTCGGGGGTCCAGACAGGGGTGATGGTGGACAAGGTGCTGCGTCCCTGCCCTTCTGACAGCAGCCTCCCGTGGAGGGGAGTGCTCAGCCCAATAAAAGCTGGAATTGGATAAGTGAGTGTGTGTGGAGTCCCCATGCAACGCGCCTGCAGCTGGAGCCTCACCAGTGGGCACACATGCTCTGCCCACCCAGGACGAGCCCCTGAGGCCTTCATGTGCCCGCAACCATCTGGCTTCCTCATCCTCCTCTGTGGGCTGTCCCTCCCATCCTCACACCGGAGACCCTTGCCCAGAACCCACCCTGGAGCTCCAGTCACACTTGCCTGCCTCCAGGCACCTTTGGCCTGGCCTCACCCAGCTAGGGGCACTGGGGGGCTGGGCACAGACCCTGAGGCCTTGCTGCATAGCACCAGCCTGGGGCTGCAGGCAGGAGGGCCCTGGGCCTGGCACCTGGGGGGTTACTGGGGGCTAGGCCAGAGCTGCTGTAAGAAGGGACAGCAGGGACAGCAGGCCCCACCAGCACCTGTGCCTCTGCTCCCCTCTGACCAGGGTGGGGTCCGGCTCCCAGGGTCCGTGTAGGTCCATCCAGCTGGGTCTGGTGGGTTTTGGCTCGACAGCCCGGGGTCCTGCCATGCCCTCACCAGGCCTGGGAAGGCAGCACGAGGCCCCTGAAGGTCGGCAGCCACAGGCTCCGCTGTTCCTCCCCAGAGCCGGCCTGTGGCAGGGCCTCCAGCCGGCAGTCTGCGGGAGCCGTGCACAGGGCGACGCAGAGCGCTCCCCCGAGGGCCGGAGGCATGTGGCAGGGCCGGTTTGGCCACTGCCCGCTGTCCCAGCAGCCTGGCATCGGGCGGAACTGCTGATCAAACAGACCCCGTCCTTGCTGTGCCCAGCCTGGGCGCCCACGGATCTGGCCCCAGACCCAGATCCCAGTGGAGGGGCCTCCTGGTGGGCTTCTCGAGGGGAATGGACCCCCCATGGGATGCAAAGAATGCGCATTAGCTAGAGGAAAGCACTGGGCTCGCAGTCCTAGACCTGTTCCTTCCTGACGCACAGGCAGCCTCTGGGGGAAACCCTCCTGGATGTATGGCCTCAGTCTCCCCATCTAAGAGCAGGGGTGGCCCGGGGCCAGGACTTGGTGGTTGGTGGGGCCCACGGGGCTGGCGTGCATGGGGCCTGGGCTGGGCAGTTTGGCAGGAGGCCCTGGTTCCTGTGAGACAGTAATCGAATCAGCAGTGCCGGCGGGAGCGGCACGCCGGGGTCCGGCTACTCCCACAGGCCCAGGAATGAGGAAGCCTCTGAGATGCCCGGCGCTGGTGCCCAGACTGCACTGATTTCTTGGCCCTGGTCCAACCCCCCACCAACCCCCTCGGGCTGCCCTGCACATCCTCCCAGGGGGCCTGCCGGAGGCCTCACCCATGCTGCCGGCTGGCCCGGAGGCCCACCTGACCCCAGCCCCAGGCTCCGCCTCTAAGGCTCTTATTTTGGGAGTCTTTCTTCCAGGCCAGCCCCTCAAGCCCCCATTCAGTGGCTCACCGAAGCACGGGGTGAGGTCCCCACGTACTCAGCCCTGGCTCAGTGGGCACGACGCTTCTTCCAGGCCAGGGTTGAGGCCGCCTGCCTAGGCATGGCCCGCCCAGCCCTGCCAAGCCTTCTGCAGCTGCAATGGGCAACCTCCATCCCATAATCGTTTTCTGCCACCTTTCCTGCACCCGTTGCTGGTGGTGAAGTCAAAACTTGGCACGAGACCCGGAGCTCCAGACCAGGCCTTACACAACTCTGGGTGGGGCGGGAGGAATCCCTGCCGGGATGCGGAGATGCACCTATTTTTAGCCCTAAGAAGAAAACTCAACCCCAACACACACAGTATACAACACAAATATTTGTTTTTATTCTTAAAAAAGCTCGAATGGAGGGTTTGGGGCCTGAAGCACACGCTTGGTTGAGTCACCCCACAGGCCCCACCCCGCACAGCCTCCCACTCCGGAGAGCCCCTCCCTGAGCTCCCCAGCCCTTCCTGAACTCGCTGGGCAACCTCACTGTCTTGCCCTTGCTCCGGCACCTCCCCTCAGGTGAGCTGTGCAGCGATGCCCCTCATCCTAAGGTTGGCTGGAGCCCTCCCCGCTCCCCTGGGGATGCCGTTCCCTGCCCAGGACTCCCTGGAGCCATTGGTGGAGACTTAGTGAGCCATGTGGGGGCGGGCGTCCCCCTACTAGGGGTGCTGCTCTGATTGCCCCTTCTTGGCCCCTGAGCTGTGCCCCAAGAAAGTAAGATGTCCCCCAGGAGCTCCCAGGCTTGGAGAGGCCCAGGAAGAGTGGCTGAGCCACTGGGGGGGATAGCAAAGAGGCTTCCATGCTGGGGACCTTGGGGTGCCAGGGCACGGTTTCCTGGGGCTGCTGGAACGAATGACACAAATGGGCCTTGAAACAACATCTATTGTCTCACAGTTCCGGAGGCCAGAGTTTGAAGTCAGTGTCCCTAGGCCCAAATCTAAGGGTGGGTGGGGCTGAGCTCCCTCCAGGCTCCCCGGGAGGACCCTCCCAGCCCCTTCTAGCCTTTGATGGCGGCAGGAGCCCTTGGCTGAACAGTGGCAGCACCTGGTCTTTGAGGGAAGCATCTTCAAATCTCCCTGCGCTCCTCTTCCCACGGCCTCAGGGCAGAAGCTCCCTCTGCCTCCCTCTTAAAAGGATGCCTGTGATTGTGTTAGGGCCCACCCGGATCATCCTGGATAATACCCCCAACTCAAAATCCTCCACTCAACCCATCTGCCTTGCAGGGCAGCCTCTCCAGAATCCAGGGATCAGAGGCTGGACATCTTGGCGAGCCACCATTCAGCCTCCTGCAGGCAACCTGGGTAGGGAGGCTCAGAGAAGACCCCAGAGGCAGCTCCTTTGGAACAGGGGACAGAAGAGGGTCCATCGGAGCCGACTGCGCTGGGCATCCGGAATTGGGGTTTGGGGAGAAAAGCGAGGTCCTGGTGCATCACAGCGCGGCAGGCACGACTGCTGGTCAGGTGGGGGACGGCGTGGCAGGCCTGGGTGAGCACCGCCTTTGACATGCGGGGCCCCTGTGTGCAGCGAAGCACCTGGCCCTCAGCCCAGCTCAGGTCATCCTGGCCCCTGCTCGAGGGCTCCCGTGGGCATCAGGAGTGAGGCGTGGTGAAGAGCTGATGTCCAGTGACTAGTGGCTCTTACCATTCCCATGCCCCACCAGGCCTTCTGCCAGGGATCATGATCCCTCTGATCCCCAAGGAGGTCACAGTCTCCCTGTGGAATCTCCCCGTACCCCCTCATCTGCCTGTGGCTCAGGTGAGGCCGTGAGAATATGGGTCCCCAATTTTGTCCCCTGAACACTCCTTCCAAGACCCAACTTGCAGCTTGCCACCCTATCTCCTCCGCCCAAGCACCATCTTCTGTCCCTTCAACTCTGTGCTCTCCTACCACTTCCCAGCTGCCTCTTGAGTGACCTCAGTCACACACACATCAGACCGCACCAGCGGCCCGTCCAAAACCTCCAAGGATGCCCCTCGTCCTGACACTCTCAGGCCTGTGCCTGCCCCAGTCCGCTAACTTCCGTTAAACAAGCCCCCCCTTGGGACCATGGCA